GGGAAGTCCATAAAACATGACAAAATCAAAAATCACGATGACAACCAACGGAACGAAAAGTTAATGTGTTGTGGTTCTAATGTGTCACATTATAACTTTTACATGTCAAATTTTCATAACCCTTTCCAGTTAAAACGTGAAGTAATATCTTTGTCAAAGACATTTTTTTCATACAATCGTTGCTTCCTGAATGCCTTTTGGTATAATGTCTGTTAGCAAAATATTCATGCATACTCAGGATTGGACCGAGTTAATAATTTGTTTATAGGTATGTTCTAAAGAGTAGGATTATCAAGATGAATGCGAGAAATTTCATACCGCAACTGTTAGAAAACCCTATACTGGGTGGGAGAAAAAATACCTGACAATAGATCACATACGTACCCCTTAAAAGAGAGGCGAAAGATACGAGAGGGACATTCAAACTCATAAATCGAAAATAAACTGACAACGCCATGTCTAAAAAAGAAAAAGACAAACAGACAAACAATAGTACACAAAACACAACATAGAAAACTAAAGACTAAGCAACACGAACCCCACCAAAAACTGGGGATGATCTCAGGTGCTCCGGAAGGGTAAGCATATCCTGCTCCACATGTGGCACCCGTCGTGATTGTAGTTAAAGACACTGACGTTTTAAGAAGTATGTCAATCTACCAACACAGGTATTGAATTTTAAGTTCAACAGTCCATGACCGGTGCGAATATAAATGTTAACAATTTTTTTATTATATCAGAATTTATAAAAAAAAATGGTAACAATAATTTCAGAAAATTTTCAAGGACTTATAGGTTCTTTGCAAAGACTAAATGAGATTCCCGAACCACAACTTCCTGTTAAATACCCAAGAACTCCCGGGTACAAAGCTGAAGACGATGCCTGGTAAGTATACCGTAAGTTTGACTTTAGATCAATTTAACTATTCTTTATGGTGACATATAGATCCTCACGTATTCAAGGTATGTATATATCATTAGCTTTCAAATCTTTTTTTAGTGAAGGGAAATCCGCAAAAGATCTTCAGACGCGTGAAATTGACCATAGTGTTATTTTCCTTCCAATGCATTATCTTCTGGTTTTTTTCTTTTCTGAAAGTAAACACGTATACATATGATATGTATATACAAATTTGACGAGCAGAATCTGCGTATACTTCCGGAGCACCTGTGATCACCCCTGTTTTTTTTGTGGAGTTCGTGTTGCTCAACGTTCAGTTTGGTATGTATTGTTCTCTCTGTCTTTTTTTTTGCCATGGCGTTGTCAGTTTTCTTCAAGTTATGAGTTTTGAATGTCCTTTTTGTAACATCTGTCTCTTTTTGAAAAATAAGACATATTCAACAAGCACAAACATTTTTCATTACAGGTATTGGAAATGTGACATCAAAGGTGCTGCGAAAGGTAAATTGGCAGGTAAGACGATTGGTATCAAAGACAATGTAGCTGTTGCTGGAGTACCAATGATGAATGGATCGAAAATACTAGAGGGATACACCCCGGAGTTTGACGCAACCATTATCACCAGAATACTTGATGAAGGTTTTATATATGTGTTACGTATTTAATCTATACAGTTTGTTTTCATTTTGGCATGGTTTTTTTTAAATTAATTTATTTATTTTTATTTATCACAATCGGGAATTTGACCATTGCAATTTTCATATTTATTTTAATAATCTCAGTTATTCTTATAATTTTACTTAATATGTCAAACTATCGTTTTTTTGTCAAACAGTTGCCATATCACTCTTTAGTCCTAAGTGACCAGTCACAGCTAACTCATAGGTAATCGTCACTTTTCCGTCAACTGTACAACATTACGTCGTTTGATATGGTGTATTAAGGCTAACTGCATAAATGGACACATTCATGTTGATTGGGGTTTTCACTTTTGCATCACTACCCTTTTGAATTTCCTTGGCATTTATCGAGCTGGATTTTAAAAATAGACACATTAATAACCCAGTATCAATATCAGAAAAAATGATTGCGAAATTAAAGCTAAAATTAATTTAAAACGTTTATTTAGAAAATAAGCTTTGGCGAATATAAAATAAGGAGATGTGGTAGGCTTGCTAATGAGACAAATATCCACCAGACCAAGTGACGTAGATGTTAGCAATACAGGATCGCCGTATTGCCCTCAACAATGAGCAAAACCTTGAAACTTTGTAAAAATGCCTTCCAAAACTTCGTTAAACTCAACTATTCATTATACCAAGGATGGCTTCCGTAATTCAAATCAAACTTTTTTATTTTGTTTACTCACATTGAACTTTAAAAGTGATGAAATAAAAAAAAAGGCCGGATATCTTACCTATTTGTGATCATATCATGCTCCTTGAAACTTCAATTTTTGTGTTGAAAAACTCCGACATCTTGGTATCCACTTTATCCAGAATTGTACTAAAGAAACAGGGAGTGTAATCATCAATTAATAAGTCTTCAAAAATTCAAGCAAGTACTACAAATGGATTTTCAAAATAATTTTTAATTCGTCATCAACTAGGAGGTAATATTGTTGGAAAGACTGTCTGTGAAGATATGTGTTACAGTGTACTAAGCTGTACAGCATCTACTGGCCCTGTAAAGAATCCAATCGACAGTAAGCTATCCGCCGGGGGATCCAGTTCCGGAAGTGCTGCTCTAGTGAGTTTATTATACCATTCACATCATCATACAATTTGTCTATTTCCGGCAGTTTTTTAAATAAAATTGTCCTGGGAACATCTCTTTTTAAAACAGCAGTTAACCAGTAAGGCAGTCTATTCGTTACCAGACAATGAATTAACCAATATATCTTTATTAATATGTGTTTACACTTATGAGCAACAACAAGACGTAAATTATTTGCTTCAGGTATGAAAAATAAATTATTGCTTTGATTTTTGATATTTGCTCTATTAAAAAATCTTTATAATTAAGAAAAAATCATGATCCATGTAAAGGTCGTACGTGTAATTTGTAGTTTCTGTATTGACTAATTTCTAGCTCGGTAGAAAGGAGATTGATTTAGCTATAGGAGGTGACCAAGGAGGGTCTATACGTATTCCATCGAGTTGTTGTGGGATCGTTGGATTAAAGCCTACATTTGGTTTGGTACCTTATACAGGAATAGCATCACTAGAATTAACATTGGATCATGTAGGACCGATGGCCAGGACAGTTACCGATTGCGCACTACTCCTTGAAGTAATTTATTATTTTTTTCAGTATTTATTTATCTTAGAAATTACGAAAATACTTTCTAGAAATTAGCATATATCTATAGACGTAAAATCTAGACTGCTTTTATTCACAATAATTTGCATGAATTTATCCAATTCCAAAAGATATGTATAATTACCAAACTGGCAAATTATTTAATTTGGGCAATCAATAGTCAATATTCCAGAGGAACAAAGACCACAACAGCTGAAAACGGACAATAACAGAAGTACAAAATTCAGACTAGAACTATCATATCAACGAGTATATATAAACAAGCAATAGTACTAAAATGAAAAGTGTGTAATAGAAACTCCTAAACAAATCCGGAGTGACACCAGGAAGCTCTGGAAGGAATGGTATATCCGGCTTTGTATGTGAAAACCTTCACGATGTCTGTCAGGTAGTAAAAGACAGTGATGTAGCAAATTTGACAAGAGGTGTTAATAATAAAGCTGATATAAGCCTTTGAATTTTGAATCTACCCTGATGTGTAAAACCATAATTACATTTAGTAGATATGATCCTTTAGAAAAGGGAAATTCACTTTTGAAATCGTTACGTTTTGCACATACATGTATATATATCCATCTTCAAATTGCAAAACTGTCAAAACTTTAACTTTGTTGAACATATTGCAGGTAATCGCTGGCTATGACGAAGGGCGTGATCCCAGACAAATTCCAAATATGTCAATACCCAAGTATTCACAGTTGGTAAGAACTTTAACATGATAATCCTTTTTCCTAATAGAAGAAGTCATTACACAAAAGACGACCGTTTTCACAATAGGTAAATTCTTTCATAACAAAGCCTTCTTATTTATAAATTGTAAACTTTTGAGCACACCACCATCACATGCACATATAGTAAAAGCATTTAAAAAATGCAAAATATTGGCAGTTGGTAAAATTTTAAGACGCTTTCCTTGTCTTCATTACTTGTAAGTATTTAAGATAGCAATGTATTTATTTTAGGTGTTAAGAACAGTAACGCCATAACCAAAAGATGCAGAAGTTAAACCATATAAATACTTCTGTTACTAGTATTACAACTGTTAATTGAAAATGCACTATAAATTTCGTACGTTCGAAGCGTTTTTTCTGGATTTGCTTCCACCAGTTACGCTCACACCAAAACATTTGAACGCCAGGGATATATAAATACACAGAAACGTTAAGAATTTCAAGACAATAATATTTACATACTCTATTCAGCGGGAAAATCATCATTTATCGTACAAAAGCCTTCACTTAGCATACTTGAAAGCTAATGGTAAATAGTCTATATATAAGCAACACATAACATATTTAAAAATTATCCCTGACACTTTTATATATGTAAATAAACTGTTGTATACTGTTTATTTTTTTTCTTTGTGCACAAACGTTCATTTTAAAACCTTTTTTCGGTTTTTTCTTCTTCGAAAGATTGATGCTGGTATAGAAGGCTTTAAGATTGGTATAGTCAAAGAAGGATTTGAGTCCCAGCTAATGGAAGCAGATGTGGCTGAGATTGTCAAGGGAGCTGCAAATAAATTTAGAGGAGCTGGCGCTACAGTTGAGGATACCAGTATACCTCTACATAATGATGGTATGTTTTGCGTTAAAATGAAACATTATTGTCAATAATACCAGTATCCCTCTTCATAATGATGGTATGTTTTGCGTTGAAATGACACGCTATTGTCAATGATACCAGTATATATCTACATAATGATGGTATGTTTTATGTTTCAATGAAGCACTGTAGTCAAAGATACCAGAATATCTCTACATAATGATGGTATGCTTAGTGTTACAATGCAGCACTATATTCAACGATACCAGTATACCTCTACATAATAATGGTATGTTATGCGCTACAATAAAGCACTTTATTTAGAGATACCAGTATACCTCAACATAACGATGGTATGTTTTGTGTTCGATGAAGCACTATAATCAGGGATACCGGTATACCTCACATAATGATGGTATGGTTAGTGTTACAATGAAGCACGTTAGTCAAGGATATCCGTGAGAAATTGATATTGCTTGATATTTAAAATACATACCAATTAGACGTTCCATGTCCTGTTCCGGCGTCGACCTTTAACATCAGACATTTTAAAACTTTTTGTACGCTTCATAATGTAATGAAGTGTGATACGAGAAATATCTATTCATGCAAGAAATAGAAAACGGGCCAAAACCATAAGAGAAACAATTAAACCTCTTCATAACAATGGTATGTTTTGTGCTACAATGAAGCACTATTAGTCAAGGATACCAGAATACCTCAACATAAAGATGGTATGTTTTGTGCTACAATGAAGCACTATTAGCCAAGGATACCAGAATACCTCAACATAACAATGGTATGTTTTGTGCTACAATGAAGCACTATTAGCCAAGGATACCAGAATACCTCAACATAACAATGGTATGTTTTGTGCTACAATGAAGCACTATTAGTCAAGGATACCAGAATACCTCAACATAACAATGGTATGTTTTGTGCTACAATGAAGCACTATTAGTCAAGGATACCAGAATACCTCAACATAACCATGGTATGTTTTGTGCTACAATGAAGCACTATTAGTCAAGGATACCAGAATACCTCAACATAATCATGGTATGTTTTGTGCTACAATGAAGCACTATTAGTCAAGAATACCAGAATACCTCAACATAACAATGGTATGTTTTGTGCTACAATGAAGCACTATTAGTCAAGGATACCGGAATACCTCAACATAACAATGGTATGTTTTGTGCTACAATGAAGCACTATTAGTCAAGGATACCGGAATACCTCAACATAACCATGGTATGTTTTGTGCTACAATGAAGCACTATTAGTCAAGGATACCAGAATACCTCAACATAATCATGGTATGTTTTGTGCTACAATGAAGCACTATTAGTCAAGGATACCAGAATACCTCAACATAACAATGGTATGTTTTGTGCTACAATGAAGCACTATTAGTCAAGGATACCAGAATACCTCAACATAACAATGGTATGTTTTGTGCTACAATGAAGCACTATTAGTCAAGGATACCAGAATACCTCAACATAATCATGGTATGTTTTGTGCTACAATGAAGCACTATTAGTCAAGGATCCCAGAATACCTCAACATAACAATGGTATGTTTTGTGCTACAATGAAGCACTATTAGTCAAGGATACCAGAATACCTCAACATAACAATGGTATGTTTTGTGCTACAATGAAGCACTATTAGTCAAGGATACCAGAATACCTCAACATAACAATGGTATGTTTTGTGCTACAATGAAGCACTATTAGTCAAGGATACCAGAATACCTCAACATAATCATGTTATGTTTTGTGTTACAATGAACCACCAATATAAATGATACCAGTAAACCTCTTCAGAAAGATGGTATGTTTTGTGTTCGATGACGTATTATTAGTCAAGGATACCAGTATACCTCTACCTAATGATGGTATGTTTTGTGTTACAATGAAGCACCATTATGAATAATGTATATCCAAAGCCATGCACCTGTCATCCAGTAATTGTCGTTGGCTTGTCGTCTGTCATATTTATTTCTAGTGTATTGTTACGTAATCAATCAAGCTGTTTGTTTTCTCTTATAAATTGTTACACATTTTGTCATACTGGGGTCTTTTATGGCTTACGTTCTGGTATTGGTATTGCCCATTGTTTGACACCATACGGAGACCTGTAAATATAATATATAAGAAGATGTGGTATGAGTGCCAACGAGACAACTCTCCATACAAGTCACAATTTGTAAAAGTAAACCATTATAGGTCAAAGTACGGCCTTCAACACGGAGCCTTGGCTCACACCGAACAGCAAACAATAAAGGGCCTCAAAAATGACTTGTGTAAAACCATTCAAACAGGAAAACCAACGGTCTAATCTATATAAAAAACGAGAAACGAAAAACACTTATGAACCACATCAACAAACGACAACCACTGAACATCAGGTTCCTGACTTAGGACAGGTGCAAACAAATGTTCACATCCATGTCCTTTGATCTTTATTGATAGTCGTCGAATGGGCTATCATACCACATCTCTTTGTTTTATGTATATTGTTTCATATTTTCTTTCACAAATAAAAGGTGTGGAGTATGAGGGGCTGGATGGGGTTTAGAGGATAGAGAATAATGGATGTTGGAATAGAGAAAAATGGGGTGTGGGAATAGAGAAAAATGGCTAAAAAAGAAAGAATAGATGGAGTATAACGAAATCAGAGTTCTATATTTTAATTAGACTGGGACTCCCCATTCCCCCAAGTCCTTCGAGTAAATGATCAATAAGACAACAAGCCAACTGCCTTGGCACATAGAATTGTAGTGGGGATAAACTATTTCTTTGAGAATTCAATAACTTAATCATCCCTATTATATTTTAATCTCGATCTGTGGTGGTGCATCAAGTCAGGAATATGACAGTTGATTTCCATTCGTTTGATGTGTTTGAGCTTTTCATTTTGCCATTTCTTAAGAGACTTTCCGTTTAGAATTTTCCTTGGAGTACGGTATTTTTGTTATTTTACTTTTGAAAGGGTTGTGGGAATAAACGAATTCAAACAAATGCTACATTCCCAGACTTTCAACAATTTCTCCAAAAAAAAACACTTTTACTAAATTTTGCAATGTAACTTGAACGACTAAAAAACATGACCTTGTGCAATGCAAAAATATAGGTATCGACAGATTGTAGTATTGTGAAAGTCCATATGTGTAATATTTTGTATGGTTATATGGTTATATGACTGCCGGCCAGACTTTTCTCTCAGTCGACAATTAGACATCTCTTGGTCATTCTAACGCAGATCTGAATAAAATGACTATCTTTATCGTTTACATAACTTACATAACTGCTTAGTACATCGAAGAAGAAATCTATTGGAAAAGATTTTGTAAATGAAAGTTCAAAGCACTTAGAACTTTCAAGGTTCTGGTTAGTGCGTCACCCTAACCATATCTCGTTAGCTATAGCACCGCCATTTACTGAAAGTTGCCAAATATATTTTTTTGGCTACTGACAATTACAAGGATAGGCATATAAATCACGATAAATTGATATATTCGTGAGAATCATTCATCCCCGAGATTTTAATAGAAATTTTAAGGAAAAGAAGGAATTTGTTTTTTCTATTCATGACAGTAAATCCCAACGCACTCACAAAAAGAAACGGAACAGATATTTTATAGCTGTTACTTTTGTTGCTTTTGATGTGTCTATATATAAATTGCCTAACAATGTAATTTTTTGCACACTATTTAGTATGTTAATATTAAAATGTTAAAAATATTTACAATGCGATAAAATTAACGCAATATTTCGCTAGTCAAACTAGCTTCATCGGGCTTGCATCTATCAAGGTGAAATCGGATGCAGATAAGAAATGTTTGCAGCTCATTGTACATTATGATCAATAAGATCTAAAAATGCTGCGTAAAAAAAATGTATGACGTTCAAGATTATTTGTTTGATATACGAAATCTGTTGTTGAAGTAAGGTAAGTTTGCAACGTCTTATGGTCACTTTATCATTTTTTAAATGTTTTTATTTTCAATTTTGCAACGAGAAAATACAGAAAATACTGCAATAGTTATATCTTATATGATATTAAATTACAGGTATAAAGATCTGGCATCCAATTGCACTGCAAGGACAATATAACTGTATGATAAAAGGAAATGGTATGGATTAGAGTTTTTATTGGTTTAGTCCAAAGTAATAATAACATGTTTTGTAAATATGAGTTTCTGTCAACCACATGAATTTATGTTGATATTACAATGTTTCCCTTTTGAAGGCCCCCTTCCGTAACAATGTCGCCCTGTTTTAAAATTCAATCTTTTTTCAATTCAGAATTCCAGAGTTCACTATGAGATAAGTGACATAAACCATTTTATTGATTAAAATCATTCAGTTCGAAAGTAAATTTGTTTATACTTTTTGCTAAGTGAAAAGGGTGTAAAGTGTTCGTCGTTACCGTTCTTTTGTTCACCAGTTCTTGTCAGTCCTCACATGTTAACCAGAATTTCATCAGGAGCAGTACATAAGCACCTGAAGGAATTATGCAACATATTTATTCTAAATAGCTGTGAGATTTACTTTGACAAATTATAGATTTTGAAATATTTGAAAAAAGTTAGGCAACTTCAAAACCAATGAATAAATATGAATCTAAAACTTTCTCTGAATAGCATTTAAACAATTAAAACCCACATGCACATATTTTGATATGAAAATATTCAAAGTCGGTTTAGAATGTCATTTCTTGTGTCAGACGACAGCTTACTGAAAGCTGATTCCAAAAATATTTGGTTTCTATAAACATTTGCTTAGAATAAGGGAGATAATTTGCTCATTCTGGTTTGAAAAATGACACTTTTGTTATTATATGATAGGCCACTTGACACTGATTCCAAAAATATGTATTTCTAGATACTTTTATATAAAATTAATGCAAACAATGGTTACTTCCGGTTTACTTAAGTTCACTTCCGGTTGACTTTTGCAAGGTCATGTGTATTTCTTCCAAATGCCAAAAACCCTATGGCTTTATCATGTATCAATATGAAGTTAGTGCAAAGGTCAAAAATTTAGAAATTTACCTTTGACCTTGACCTCAATTTCAAGGTGATCAAGCAAAAACTAAAAGACCTAAGGTCGCTACTATGTACTGTTGATAAGTTATATAACTATTCATCTTATTTTTAACATTCAAAGGATGAAAACTCCTAGTAAATGTATCCTTACCGTTCAAAGAAAAAATTTCCTGCTACGACATATTGCAAATAACAATTAAATGAAAATCTTTCGTCGATATATATTACCGTTTCTTAGGAGTAGCATGCACAAGCAAAAGGAAAAATTCAGAACATGACCTTGCCCTTTGACCTTGACCTCATTTTCTTTTTGGTGGATTCAGTATCTCAGATTAAAAAAACCTAGGTCTCTATCACTTATGGTTTATGACTTACTATTACATTTCACTTATGTCGAATACATAAAGGGAAATAACTCTCATATGGAATCGAAAGATCTCTTCGATCAAAATTATTCTCGACAACCTGAGGATATAACCAGCAATTTGGTAAAATAATTTTTTCATAATCTTTTACTGTTGCGAATAAGTATTGCGCACAAGAAACAGTGTTCGGGGAGATGACTCTAACAAAGTAAAGTGATCGTTCAGTTTCAAAAGCGTATAAACTGTTTGATATCACAATGGGAAATCTAGTGGCAGAGAACAAAAGAAAATTCACTCTTCCTATAATAAAGTCGAGAAAATCAATAATAAAACGATGCCGTTGACGATAGTGATCGAAAGTTAATTCTAAACAACAATCGTACATTGATTTTTAAAGAAATTATTTGTTAAACTTTGTTATTAGAAATATACATGCAACTACACGATGTATTATGTTCAGTATTTATCGAAATAATTACATTAGAAGCTTGTGAAACTGAAATTTTAAAAATGTTAATCTTTGCTGCATATTGATAAAAAAAATTGAAAAAAAAATCATGTACATACAAAATATAAAGATTTCCAGAGTGTTCCACAAAATTCTCAGCATGTTACAAATTCCCAAAATATACCTATTCTTCACATCGAAGTTTTCGAGTACACCGGTCTGCTCTTGTCACTTGAACATTCAATATAGAAATATTGTCTCTTCGTGATTATAACAATTAAAAAGTCTGTCAAAAAATTAAAGATAAATAGTTTTATAAACTGGGTTATCCGTTAAAAGATTTTTACTATTTTTTTTTATACAATTTTGAGAAAAGGTCGTCTCGATTTTTGTACATGTATTTGCTGTCTTCTTGGTCAATTCACATTCAATGTTTACATCGGGATAAGGTTCGTTTGGATTTGCTTAGTACCTTAATTTCAAAAGTGTTAATCTTTGCTGCATATCAATCGATTCCTTTGGAATTGACCTGCACTTCTATGATCTATCTGCATACATATGGCATGTTCCAGAGTGGAATACAGTCAGTAGAAAAATATATTGAAGTTGGTACTCCAGGAATGTATTCGCATAGAAACATTTTAAACCAATTTTACACCTAGCTCCTATAACCTGCTGTACTCATCGTTTGCTATTTAAGGAGAGAAAGGATATCATTAAATTGAAGTTTTGTTTTTTATTTCAACTTATTTCTATTTTTACTATTGACCAGAACGTATTCTCGTGAATTTATAATTGATAGCGACCTTGCTAAAACGTTGAGAAGATCAAGTTTTTAGTGTTTACAGGGGAGGTAATATTTTGTTACCAGATCACCCACTTATCATATATAACAAATCGAAGCGATCTCTTTTGAAATAACAATACAGAGCCAGAAAAAAATATGGACGAAGAAAGAAAAAAAATAATCATACAAAATCAAAAGGTCTTTTCACGGAAAAGGTGAAA